TACAGCCAACTGTGTGCCACAGCCTACATGTGGTCAGTTGACATGATTTCACATCCCTAACAAGTGTGCTGCTTTGATGTGGTGAAGGGGCTCATGCACTTTTCTAATAACAGTGTGGGATGCTTCTGCACCCATCTCCTTCCTCCTATGGTGGTTCACAAGTGGAACCCTACAGCTGCCTGTGTGTTTTCTGTGATTGGAGATCTGTATATTTCCCATTATCCTTCATTAGATCATTGAGCAACCCGTTCTCTCGATTTAACGCTCCATAAACAAAATAATTGTTTTGAAAACCAGAAATGTTTGTACCTAACCAACCCGCTTAACCTATTGAAGCTGATACTCAGGAATATTATGGTACAGTACTTTCATATCTTACAGATGCTGCCATTTTGACAATTTTATATATATACAGTATATATATATATATATATATATATATATATATATATATATATATATATATATATATATATATATATATGTCGTACCTAGTAGCCAGAATGCACTTCTCAGCCTACTATGCAAGGCCTTATTTGCCTAATAAGCCAAGTTTTCGTGAATTAATATATTTTCTTTAATTTTTTCTTATGAAATGATAAAGCTACCCATTTCATTATGTATGAGGTCAATTTTTTTTTATTGGAGTTAAAATTAACATAGATATATGACCGAACCTAACCAACCCTACCTAACCTAATCTAACCTATCTTTATAGGTTAGGTTAGGTTAGGTAGCCGAAAATGTTAGGTTAGGTTAGGTAGGTTAGGTAGTCGAAAAAGCATTAGTTCATCAAAAGTTGGCTTATAGGCAAATCGGGCCTTGCATAGTAGGCTGAGAAGTGCGTTCTGGCTACTAGGTACGACATATATATATATATATATATATATATATATATATATATATATATATATATATATATATATATATATATATATATATATATATATATATATATATATATATATATATATATATATATATATATATATATATATATATATATATATATATATATATATATATATATATATATATATATATATATATATATATATATATATATATATATATATATATATATATATATATATATATATATATATATATATATATATATACATACATACATACAAGAGTTCTTACATTCTTGTACAGCCACTAGCATGCATAGCATTTCAGGCAAGTCCTTAATCCTAATATTCCCCGGAATACGACTCTCCAAATCGTTTAACAACCAGGTACCCATTTTCCTGTTGGGTAAACGAGGCTACAGTTAAGGCTTGGCGCCCAGTAAATCCTCCCCGGCCAGGATACAAACCCAGGCCAAAGTGCTCGCAAAATGCCAGGTCAGCGTCTTGCCACTACGCCACAAGGAAATTGGTGAATTCAGTTAAAAATGTGATGACAGGGCAGGGTAGCAAGTATGTCAATAACATACTCGCTCCAAACTCATTAGCTTAATGAGATTATTTGATTGTTTGATTGATGAAGATTAAGCCACCCAAGAATTGGCACGGTTATGAATAGCTTGTAACCAAGATTATTTGCTTATTGATTGATTATATAATTGGTCCACACCTCACTGCCATCTACTAATTTGGAAAGTAGTGTTACTTGTAATTAGGGAAGATGTATGAATTGTCATTAGTAGATTAAGTAGAATTAGCAAATTCATCTCATTAAGCTAATGGGAGTTTGGAGTAAGTATATTATTGGCATAATATTACGTAGTGTGTCCCTGTGGTCTTCCTCCTGCCACCGTAACCGGCGGTGGGAAACGGCTCTAGCACGGTTGCGTATTGGCCATACTCGCTTAACTCACGGTCACTTAATGGAGCGCCGCCCTGCTCCGTATTGTCCAAATTGCATTATCCCTCTTACAGTTGTGCATATCCTTGGTGAATGTCCTGACTTCTAGGACAAGCGTGTGTCTTGCTTTCCGACCGTCCCTCACAGTCACTTGTCCCTCGATAGAATTCTTGGTGAATCGGATACTTTTGATATCGTTCGCCTTATGCGTTTCTATTCTCATATTGACATCCTTGGTGATATTTGGCGCCCTCTGATTATTCCGCACATTTGATGGTGCTACATAGCCTTCCCAGCTTGGTGCCTTCTTTTGAGAATTACTTACTTGACATAATATACTTTCTACAATAGGTTACATTGAGCCTGCCTAGCAGCTGGGCCCCTGGAGGGGTAATACACTTTTGTATGGGGAATACGAATAAAACAGTAAGTTCAGTGAGGCTTGACTAAATTAATTGGCTTGTCTGGCTAGCAGGCCTTATCAGGCTTAGGTCAAGTGGGTATTAAAGGGTTACCTTGGTTACCTTGAGATGATTTCGTGGCTTAGTGTCCCCCGTGGCACGGTCGTCGACCAGGCCTCCTTGTTGCTAGACTGGTCAACCAGACTGTTGGACGCAACGGCTCGCAGCCTGACGTATGAGTCACGGCCTGGTTTATCAGGTATCCTTTGGAGGTGCTTGTCAAATTCTCTCTTGAACACTGTGAGGGATCGGCCAGTTATGCCCCTTACGTGTAGTGGAAGCGTGTTGAATAGTCTCGGGCTCTAGTGTTGATAGAGTTCTCTCTCAGAAAGTTGTTGGTATTGCTATCAACATGGTATCCCTATGGTATGGTAGGGTTGGTATCCCTATCTCCAAGGTTTCTCACATGCTTGTATCTTCCCTTGTTAGGTTCCATGGTGGGTGGGGTACAGGAAGCGGTCTCTTCTTTTGTTGTATTCTTTCTTTTTAAACACACTCCTCATTCCTTGGAGATTCGTGTGGTGCATTTTGCCTCCTGTCTGTAAGCCTTACTGTGGTACTTGCTCTGTATAAAAAGGCCTTTTGTATCCTCAGAGGACGAAAAATCTTCGTCAGTATGTCTGACATTCGTTGGTAGTTTGTCTAGTTCCTTGGTGGCATCATGAATTTCAGTTGGAGTAATGCTACCTGTCCCTCCACCATGTCTCTATGCTGGAACTATAGACTGATCTTGGAATTATCCAGTGACTGATGCCACTTAGTGGGGAGGTTTAAGAAAAGACCAGCAGCAGAACCCCCCTTTCCGGAAACCATATTGCTGACCGCATAGTAACCAATGACAAAAAATGATGCTATTGTCTGTCAAGATTCTTCTCAAGAATTCCATCAGTACAGTAACTGAAAGCTGTTTTTTTTTTTTTTTCAATTATTGCAAAAAAGTACCTATTAAATACATTGAGATTGAAACTTAATTAAAATTATGGGTTGCTCATTGGTGCACGACTGGACTCTTAATACTATATAACAATTAAAATTGCCAGTAAAATTTTGCTTTCTTACAAATACTGATTGTAATGCATAGTGGCTTGTTAGGAATATTAGTTCCTTGGAACTCTTACAGATACTTTAATTCTATTAAAATCCCTCTGAAAATTTGTATTGTTGCAGTATGAATACCTACATCTCAAAATTTCAGTTTAGACACTCAGCCCACAAATCTGAAAATAAAGGAAGTGCAACATTTCAGTCCATCCTGGACCATTATCAGGTAATGTGGTAATGGTCTACAATGGACCGAAACTGTCACTTTATTTACAAATGTGCGGGTTGGGTGTCTATTTTCAGTCATGTTATTGTGACTTGGTGCCTTCAGTTCAGTTGCCTTCTTCAACCATTTGATAAGATATGATTTATACCATTATGTACTACAAGCCTGAGTTCCTTCATCAGTATACTGTGACTGTTTACTACATTATTCAATTTACTTATTTTCAGTGATGTAAATTCTTTATAATGTTCAGGTAAGATATATTGTAATGAAAATGGAATTCAGTACCACTGCACTTTGTTATATATATCTAAACTTTGGGAAGTTTGAGGTTTACTCATAGTTACAAAGCATTATTTTATCATTTTAGTATAAAGTGAAGATTAAATCTATTCAGACTTGCCAGTTTGAATCAATTGCATATGGGGAGCTTAGTTTTTATTTATTACATTATCAGACTTGGCTTCTCATCTTGTTTTGCATAATTATTTAAACATTTAAATTTAGTTTATCTTCACTCTATCAAGATGCTGTTGCATGAAGCAAAACCAACTGCAGTTTCATATTGTTACATCCTAGTTTAAGTATTGTGCATGATTTTCTATATCACAAGTGCAACCATGACAAGCAATAGGATGCCACAGATACACTAAATGATCCAGGAGTGTTTTCAGGGATAGCATGACATGTCTCATTAAGTGCTTTATCAGTCTTCTAGAGATGAGCTAGATTAATTTGGTCACAGAATATAGCTTTTGAGGTAAGTTACTTTTTTTTATATAGTCTCCATAATGTTAAAATTACTTGTGTTTGTGAAAGGTTAAGTGACATTGCCATGTATAGCCCTAAATATTACATCCGTGGATCATCTTTAACATACCTGCACATCTGGGGGTGGATTGTGTTATAGGTTATGTTGACCTCAGTAGGAAAATTACCTCATTCAGGATAGCATGGATGATGTGGGGGATGAAGGACTGGGTGGTAATTTGGTGTTCCTCCCGAGTACATCCATGCAAGACAAGCTTGCCTCCATTTTGGAAAACTCCTTCATGGGCAGTGATGACGCTTAAGATGGTGGTGAGGCAGGGTTGCTCTGGGTTAGGTAGAGGGTACAAGGTAAGATAAAAGTATTCCTCAAGTAATTTTTGTGAATGGCATGAGTAATTTGGAGAAATGCAGTGCTGATTTAGAATGAAGTTTGTTTGAAAAAATTATTTCATTACTCTCTTTAAATATTTATGTAACGAGAAAATGTGCATTATGTTGGAGTAGTGAAGAGGTTTTAATATATAGTTTAATGTTTGTTGTACATTAATACTAGTAACGTAAGAGTGCTGCATTCAGATAAGTTACCCAGCCTTGCGCAAACTTGTTGGGGTCAGAGATAGCCTCCATGCTCAGTTCTGCCTGAACAATGTGTTGACTTAGTTTCTTTGTTGCACCTCTTTACCTCACAGGATTCTGGGCTTTGTCTGCTAAAAAGAACCCCCAGGAGGTTTCTGCTATTCAAGTAACATTGAACTGCCAATCAGGGATTTTGTGAGTAGCAAGTTTAAGAGGAATCAAAGTGAATAATGTTTAATTTGTCATAAGCGCAGTCAAAAGTGTTCCACAAATATTTGTTGAATGGTTTATACTTTCAGTAGCACATTTAATTGTAACTTAATATGATCAGGCTTTGTATGATGTCTGATATTTGGTTAGTTGTAACCTCATAAAAACTTAATGCATTTAAAAACTTGGAAACTTGGTTATCACATTCCTGTATTGGCTGCAACAAAGCATATTTCTTTGTAAGTTGAATACTAGGTTTGTGTGGAGAGCATTATTTTCTCCTTCAATTGTGAAGTGTTTGTGTGATAAGGCTTCATGGTTGTACTTTATCAGCATTACCAAGCATCATTATTGCTGTGAACATTATATTTCTTCATAATTTTATGTAAATGAAATGATATAGCAGGTTTTTGTTTGTTTTAATAATGTAATAAAAATTTTGGCTTGGAATTGGAAACTGCTGCTGTATATGTTCTCAGTGCAGCATAGTCAATCACTACCCTCACGCCCCTCACTTCTCAGCCTCCCTTCCCTTGCTTTTAGAGCAGCTTATTTCATATTCTGAGGGATAATATTAAAGTTAACTGCTTGTTACATAGTCTTCATCTCTAAGCTCTTCCAGGTGCATCAAAGTCTTTGCAATTTTAATGGCCCCCTAGAGTGGTCGCACTGTACAGCATGTTCAGTCGCTGGATACTGATGCATGTCTTTTTACTAAATGCTGGGAAAGAAATCACACACAGAGATCACACTAACGTGATGCATCAAATGAACAAATCCACAAGGGCCGTGCCTCAGTCGATTAAGGCAGTGTCTGGGATGCTCCCGGACGCAGGTTCGAATCCTCGTCACAGCCCTTGTGGATTTGTTCTTCTGGGAAAGAAACTTAAGACTTTTTTTTTTTTTTTTTTTTTTTTTTTTTTTTTTTTTTTTTTTTTTTTTTTTTTTTTTTTTTTTTTTTTTTTTTTTTTCAATAAGACAAATGATCAATCTCCTTGGTGCATCCCATCCTCCAGCCCAAGCAATAAGTCAAATACTGAAGATATGACGACCAAACCACACATCAGAAAAGAAAAAACGACAACGTTTCGAGGCTTCTTGGACCATTATCAAGTCAAGTCTTGTAACTCTTCCCCTCCCTCCAAGTTAGCTATAAATATCAAAGTTAACATTGTACCTTGACTCTCCAGTACCACCAAGTGGTAAAATGGTATATTATGCAAGTAGTATCATGGTCCATGTAGTCTGGCAGTTAAGAACCACTGTACTTGCTTGCATTCTTTCACTAGTTTCCCACAGTATGCATGAATTTTGCTTGTCTCTTACTTCCATGGCTCAATTCTGTAGGCAGTGTCATAGGGGTTACTAGAACTCTTTGTACTGTGTACATATTCTCATCTGTTCTTACTACTTCAATGTGTGCATATGGTAAGTATATGCATATAAGTGTACATGGGAGTATGCGAGGAAGGAGGTAGTGAGGTAGTGTGTAATTATCCAAGTTATAGGATGAGGCCTATTTCTGTAGTGTCCTGTCTTTTGTATAATCTTTGTTATATGACTCAATGAAACGACTGATAGTTTTGGTATCAACCACCTTCTCACTTTAATTATGCCATAATTTTGTAAGGCAATTTTGGCAACTCGGTTTGCAATAGAAAACTTTCATATACAGGTATATGGTTAGCATTTTTGCTTCCTTAACTTGAATCTATTATCTATCCTTAATCTTGAATTCTTGTTCTTCAAGTTGCAGGTTACAAGAATTCCTTCTTGTCAGCTGTGTCAATTCCTTTTGCTATTTTGTATGTAGTGGTGATATCTCTTCTTTTACCTCTTATCTTTCTAGTGGGTTTATTCAATACTTCCAGGCTCTTCTCATAGTTCTTTGTTTTTCAATTACAAAAACTATTTAGTAGCATGTCTTTGTACCCTTTCTAATTGATTGATATGTTTCTGGAGATATGGACACCACACAACCTGCTGCATATTACATTTTCAGTCTCTCAAATGTCATGAACAGGTTCTTTAATATTATTTATCCCTTTATTTAAACAATGCTGAAATTTGCTAGTGTAGCATAGTCTGCTCTCTCAACACCTCCGATGTGTTCCTATGGTGACAGTGTACTATCCAAAACCGCCCATAGACCTTTTTTGTCAGTTCTTTAGATTTTTTCACATAGTTTATATGTTAAGTGTGGCCTCTTCTTTCCCATTCCATTACCTGGAATTTAATTACATTGAATTCCTTCTGCCATATTTTGCTCCATTGATTTATTGTCTAAGGTCATTTTGAAATGCTTGGCAGTCAATCTAAATCTTTTACTCACTAGTAACTTAGCATGATCAGCAAAAATGTTATACAACTCTGAATCCACTATGTATGTCGTTCATATAGACAATGAACATTGCTTGCGCAAGAGTTGAACCTTGTAGTACTCGACTAGACACATTTCTCCAGCATGAAACATTGCCTGTGATTATTAATCTCATTTGTGACCATTAGAAACTTCATCCAAGTCAGTAGTCTGCTTGACACCCTTCTGTTGTATTCTAGCTTTCAAAACAGTCTTTACATTGGACTCTGTCAGATACTTTATTTTAGGTCCAGCTAGATGCAGTCAGCCCAACCCTCTTTCATGCCAAAGATAAATTTGCTACACAAAGCATTCCCATTTGAAAACCATACTTTACTGTACAGTATGTACATTATTATAAAAAAAAAATTCTAGGTATTCTACCCATTTGATTTGACTTTCAAGTGATATTGCTACCATGCTTGTCAATAATACAAATCTAATTTAGAGGGTCTTCATTGTTTTTATTCTTAAGGATTAGAACAATGTGCCTTTTTCCATATGCCATTTAGGTTTCCTATTCGTACGGATGTTTGGTAGATAATGTGTAGTGGGGCACTAATCTTGAAGATGCATTCCTTTAGAACCCAAGGCATCTGGTTTGCTTTATTCTTCAGATCCTTGAACAGTTTACTACCTCGTCTCTTGACATTTCTAGATACAGTACACTCTTGTGTTCGAAAGTCATTATTGTGACTAGTTCTCTGAAAATATCATACACATTTCAAAACTGTTCATTAAGTGTTTTAGAGATTTCCTTTTCAGTCTGTCTCCCATTTGTAGTCATAGGCTTTTGTCTTTTGCTTGAATTTGCTTTCCATGAATTTATAGAATTTGCAGAGTTTTGTTTTACATTTCTCAAGGTTTCTCTGGTGCCTCATTTTCCCCATTTTTCTGTGTTAATACATATTGCATATTTTAGTTCTACGAGTACTTGCTCACTCTTACCTAGTGGAGACAGGTACTGAAGGTCAAAATCTTTTCCTCATTCCTGGTAAATATTAGATCCAGTATTGATGAAACATCCCCTAGACTGATTTTTGTCTGTTTAACTTGTTGGTATATGAGTGTGCATGGGTTGATAGGTGGAAGTGTGTGAGTATGTAATTATCTAAGGGTAGTTACAGATGGAGAGCTACACACATAGTGTTCTGTCTTCCCATGCAATCTGTCATATGATTCTTTGAAACTGCTGATGGTTTTGGCAGTCACCGCCACCTAACTTGAGTTGCTCCAATCGAACACAACTCTCTACAAGGATGTGTTTGCAACTGCTGAGCAAGAGGGCCTGAGAGACAAGATGGCATGGGAAGGAGGCTACTCAGCTTTTTCTATTCCTAAATTTAAATATTTAAACACATCACATGCATATTATTTTCATTAAAAGGATAAATAAATGTTCTTATTGTAAACTACTGCATTGTGATAAACAATTGCACGACTGAGTGGCTTGCTGCATTGACCAAGCATTACCTGAACATTTGTTGGTGTATGTGGGGTATTTCATCTGCATATATTAGATAGGAACATTTCTTAATGTACTAAGGATCTCTCTTAAACTGCAAATTTTCAAATACCAAGTGTTTGTAGTAACCAAAAAAAAATTGTAAATCCTAAAAAAAAATCTAATTTCACCATGGCAATTTTGGCAACTATTGGGCAAATTTAGAGGGATATAGATTAACATTTTCTGCTTATGATTTTAAGTGGTTTCCATAATGTATTATATTTGTAGTACTCTGTATGCATGCCTTTGTTAAAATGTTAGAGGTAATTTTAAGCGTTAGTAAGCAATAAACTTTAAATTTTGTTAGTTTTATGTTAAATGCTGAAATGAAAACTTGTGGAACTCTGATAAAGTACAAACCATTAAGGTAATTAACATAGAATAGTGACTGCCTATACACTTAAGGGGCAAGAACCCTTCTTTTTATCCTGCATGGTGCATGTATGTAATTTTGTTGATTTTCTGTTTAACATTTTTATGCTCTTATTTTCCTTGTTTAACAATAATTCATTTTATGCAAGTGTATTTGTCATGAGTTTGTTATTCACTTACTCTTGTGCACACTGTTCATTGCATCAACTGATCCTTTAGACATTAGCTTGGCCACCTTGAAGTGGGTCCGAGGATCAGTATCCCCACAGCTTGGTCCTTGACTAGTCCTCCTGGTTAACGGACTAGTCAACAAGGTTGTTGGATGCCATTATACGCAGTCTTGACTTGAAATCATTTTGCATGTGTTGTGTAAATGTTGGCTATTGATTTTTGTTGATATTGTAGCATGAAGATGTCACTACTCCATATTTAGTTATGAAAATGACAAAAAAAAAAGTATTTTTATTTAATAGTTTATATTTTCATATCTTGTATATTTTAAATTGAAGCAAATCATTTTGTTATTAAAATCATACACAAGAACTAAGTATTGTACAGTATATGATTGTAGAATGATTTTGATTAATCAAGTTTTTTGTAAGTGCTGAAGTTACTAGAATATTATGAATGAGGAGGATGAAATTACCAGCTTGACACAGTAAGGAGTCAGGAAAGAAATCAAGGAACTAGTGAAAGAAAATGAAGTGGGGCAAATTTAAAGCATTGTCGTTAATCAATTTTCTGATGTGTGGTTGGGTCATTGTATCTTCATCCACGTTATTGCCACTCATCGTCTGCAAATTTGTAGAAGTTAACGGGGGCATAAACATGGAGGAGAACTTAGAGCAAATCCTACTGGCTAGCCAAAACAAGGAGTTAGGTAAGGATATGCTAAGATAATCTTTGTGGGCAGTTCAAATGGAAATGGTTACTAAAGGATTGGAAAAGTGTAAATAAGTTAAGAAACCCTGTAGATAGAATCATTCTATAATCTTTTTCTGGTCTTTAAAAAGGAAGTGCTGTCTAAAGTGGATAGAGCGAGTAGGAGAATAGGCAAGTATGTAAAGGGTAAGACTTGTCCCTTTAGGGTGACAATAAATGGAGTGAAATAAATGACAAATCCTTAGGAACACCAAGAAGTTGCAAAATGATAAGGATTGGAAACTAGTCATTTAATCTTTCAAAGAAAGACACAGAATCTGAAGCGAACCTTGATGAAGAAAAACATTTAAATGAAGGTAGGAATAAATACTTTTGTTTTTCTACAAGGTGATAGAGATTGGGAAACCTGTAAAATAGTACACAAAAGCAAACCAACAAAAACAGTAGTGGACAGGGGAAGGGTAGGGGAAGGGAGGGGGGGAAACATGTTACTGAAAATTGTGAATGCTAACATAGATGGGGTGAGGTAAAAAAAAAAAAGATAAAATTGTAAATCTACTGGTGGTCTATTTGGAGACGCGGCAGAAAAATTTAAAAGGGCGGAAGCAATGCTGTCCTGGTAAAGGAACAACTAAAGGTAGGAGAATTAATACTTGACAACCCATAAGATGTCAAGATAATGGCACTGGAGCTCTGCAATCAGGATGATAAACTGATTATTATTATTGCCTACAGTCCACCAGTAAGCAACAAAGGAAGAACTAGATAACAAAAGAGTGCCTTATAATGATCGTGAGAGAGGTTATAATAAAGAGTAGATAAGATAAATCACAAGTTATTGATATGTGGTGACTTCAATTTGAAATCAATTGACTGGGTAGCCTATGAAGTAAGAATGGAGGACTTTTAGACCGGCCGATTGTAATCATCCTGGAGATTTCCATATCAGCATATTAACCCTAGGCATTCTGATGATGCTAAAATGGGTCATCTGATTGCTAAATTTTCAATTCTCAAGCTATTCTATTTGCATCACCCAGTCCAAAAACATACAAAATCTTGGTCATAAGTGGACTGACCAGAGAGCCTCCCACGAGGCCTCACATGCGACATGAGCATTCGTATATTCACACCTTGGCCACCTCTTCCCAGTGCCTCCTCCATCTCCAGACCCCATCAGTTTGCCTATGCTGCTTCATCCAACTTTCTTCGGTGGAATATTCATGGTTTCTTTGCATCTCTCTCCAGGAGCCAATGATTGATTCTCATCCTGGTCACTAATGTAGTTATTCCTTTCTTTTCTCCCTTTCAGCTTCTGCTAGAAGGGAGACAAAATCCACTGCTTTCTTGATTTGGAATGATGTTCCCTTTGTCCCTCTACTTTCTCCGTCAAATGTTCATTCCTCTGTTTCCCGTATCTTTATGGGTACTGTAAATAGTACACTGTTCCATTCATCCATTTCATTCTGTTCATCCCCCACATTCCTTTCTCATTCCGTTCTTCGCCGCCTCTTGAACTCGTTACCGGAGTTTGTACTCTTGGTTGATTTTAGCTGTTGGCATGCTGACAGTTAAATGCATTGATGAATACCCAAGGCCGTATTCTGGAATCTTTCGTCCTTTATTCTTCATTGTCTCCTGAATTCCAGTGAGTCGATTCATGTTCACTCGATGATGATGACCATTTCTCCATTCTTGTAACCCTCTTCTAGTCTTTCTACCCCTTTTTCTCATTCCATCGGTGGCAGTTTGATAAGGTGGACTGGAATCTTTTTTTCACCATCTATACTCCTCTTTCCAACCAGTGTGATCTGCCTCTCCCCTAAAGGCTCCCCTTTTTCATGGAACCTTATTAGATGCGGCAATACACTCTGTTGCTCACTATGCCATTCATGGTAGTCGAAAATACATTCCCTGGTGGAATTTGGACTGTGCTCACGCTGTACTGTACTCTGCAACCTGGGAAAGACACTGATGCCGATAGCCTCTTTAGTGGCAGTGTAAGTATATCTGCACTTGTCCAATTTCTCTTAAAGGTGTTCCTTATTCCGATTTCTATCCATTCCTCGATCCCAAACTTAGCAGGGTTGTTGGTCTCATGTTATAGGTAACAAACTGCATATTCTTCAGGGTTGCCTCTTCCCTTGGCCTTCCTTTAACCACCATAATTGGCAGTGGGAAACTGCTCTGGTGAGGTTATGTATTGGCCGTATGCTCGACTTGATAATCGAGCATTATTAGGTCGACACACAATCGACTTGATAATGGTCCAGGATGGACCGAAACATTGTTGCCTCTTTACTTTCTAGTGTGTGGTTTGGTCAATATTTTTCAGCCACGTTATTGTGACTCCTCATCTGCATATGCTCTTAATTCACAGGCACTTAATGGAATGCTGCCCTGCTCCTTATTGTCTGAACTGCATTGTACCTCTTAGTCATGCATCTCCTTGTAGAATGTCCTGATTTTCAGGACGTTCGTGCGTCTTGCTTCTAACTGTCCCTTGTGGTCATTTATTCCTAGGTAAATGACTAATACCTTTGATATCGCTTATCTATTGTGCTTTTGTTCTTGTATTTGGCATTTAGCCAATATTTAATGCCTTGTGAATATCCAGCAACACTGAAGGTGCTAAAGACAAGGGCCCCCCCCTGACTTTGTGCTTTCTTTTGGTAATTTCTTACATAATCTTCTGTTTAGTGTGTGTTTTATACAGTTCTTCTACAAAAACAGTATATCTGAATTAGAGGCAGAGAATTATCCATTCCAGTGCATGAACAGTTTTTGTGGTGTTAATCATCTTTGTGGGGGGAAAAAATGGCTTATCAGTTTCTGGAAGTGTGCTCATGTTTTCATGTTTGTAGTTATGCTTATTTTAAGGAAAATTGTAATTATTCTTATATAGCAATTTCTTGGCGTGTTCTCCCTGCATGGGTGTTTTGACTTGGTGCTGGGACTGGTGCATATACTGTGCAGTATTAGTTAAGCTATCTTAGTTCACATGAGTCCCCATATTGATTTTCTTCTATGTCAAACATTTTACTATATAATTCTTGAATTGATTTATAATTTAGCTAAGAGCTTTAAATTTTATTGGTACATCAGCTACTGACATAATTATTGGTGTTATAACAGTGTACAAAATGTCTTGTCTAGTAGATTTTACTTTGTACAGTACAGTATTCATTTCCATGTTTCATTTTATAAAATATGAGGTTGATGTAATGAGCATTTGTTGTCTCCATAATTGGTGAAAATTCAATACAATAATAACCATCCTCTTTTCAGGATAATGATGCCTACAGTAATGATTGTTGCACCTAGGGTTGCGTTAAGTGATACAACCCTCCAACCCAGCGATAAAAACACAAACCCTCAAAGTGTTGATGTGCTGATGATACAGTTTATGCAAATGTGCAGAAGCATTCAACAGAAATGTCAAGCTTGAGGATTCTGCACCAGAGGTGAAACTTCAGTGAGGGTCAGAATTGTTTTAATTGTGCACCATTATCTGTATATTCTGCAGTGATGACAAAGAGTAGCTCTGCAAACTCTTAAATTCTTGTCAAATATTAAAAATTTTAATTACCAATAATTAATGTCCATGATGAATTAGAATTTTAGACTAATTTGATATTTGCTAAAGATATTTTTAAAGTTCCATGTAGGATGTTCTGGTTAATAATGATCACTATCAAGAGAGCAATTAAACTAGATCCTTATTTGAAAATTGTTGTTCATAAGAAACCCCTGATGTTTAACAGTGAACTACTGCTAAACAAATTCTATTCAAGGGAGATATTGGTGTAATGTGATCATTCCTGAGGCTCCACCTATGGTTCATGAGCCCTTGACCTTGCCACAATTATTTTTGCAGTCAGATGTGCTAGTTTCATATGTGATAGTCCTAATGCTTTCCCCTTCCAGACAATTTTCATTCTAGGGTCGCAAAGTGTGGAGCCTCACTGTTTGGTCATACATCTATATTAATTGTAAAACAAAGTGTGTGTGTGCTTGATTTTTATAAGGTTATCAGGTAATTTGAACCTTATTAAAGGTGGTAATACAAGTAAAATACCATTGTTCAGCTTCACAACGGGACTCGGCACATTGCGATTCAAAGATGATGTAGGACTATATTCAGGAGATGCACTCAAGTCAATTGTTATGTTGATGCACTCACTTCTATGTGATGCTTACACCCCAAATACAGTAGTAACTTAAACATTTTCTTTCCCCTGTACTTATTAAATATGTAGTAATACTTTTATCACTAAAAATTATTTCTAGTGTTCAGTGAGTGCCAGAAAAGTGGAAGAATGACACCTGATACAGTAGTAGTGTAGAACAAGAATAAATTGGGTGTGTTGATTGACTAGGGTGTTTATCGTGAGTACTGCCCGAACTGTGTCATGAAGGAGTGTGTGAAAGAATGTAATGATGTTAATACAGTTAATAGTAAAACTTATTATTATTTTTTTTTTGACATACACCTATGTTTCACCATTCTTTGAAGTGGTGTTTGTAGATAAAGTGTCAGATTGATTAATTTTATGTATTCATAGTCTGTGACTGACTATATTTCAAAAAGCATCTTAGTTTCATGTGCCTGTTTTCACTGCCTACAGTCATTCATTATTTTGTCATCCATAAATTATCTAACTGGAGTACTTGCTGTTAAGTTTCTTATTTTCATTTGTGATAGTTTTATTAGGTAGGTTAAAGAATTCTCAACAAAGTTACTTTGTGGAGTTTCATTCAGATTTTAAGGGGTGGGTGGGAAAATAAAAGCTTTGATACAATAATTTAGAATGAGCAAGAAGATTCAATTTAAAGTTGTATTGCCAGTAATGCTTACTTGGGGCCTTCAATGCACCATTCATTGCCAAAACGTAAAAGTAGTAAATTTCAATATTTTACATTTGTTTAGGGTTCCTGTAATTAAAATTGTTAAAAATCACTTTTTATTATTCAATAAATGAAATATAATTATGACCTCTTGATTACTGTATACTATAACAAGATATAATCATATTGTTTCTTGAGATCAGGATATTGTGTATCCTGTTTTTGAAGTAAAGCTTTGAAGGCTCATAAGTTTCTTCCTCTGTCAAATATATTTTACTGTATTCTGAAATCAAATTCATTAGACCACGTGTACCAAGCTGGTACACATCAGTTATAACTCTTAACACATCAGCTATATATGCCTTATAAAGAGCTAAGGGAGCATAAGACTCCATATTTTGAAGGAAAATCCCCTTAAAATTTTCAAGCTTCAGGAAATTTTCCCCAGGAAATTTGATCCTGTTAACAAAAAAAAATCTGGTATTATACTGTCTTGTGCCAAGAGAACTGCTACAGATTCATGTCAAACTTGTAAAACTAACTAATGATATGTGAATGTGAATATGTGCTTTTTGAAAAGAACATATTCACTTCACTCTTGCAGTTACTTAACCACTGCACTGCTCTGCATTAAAATATGACATACGCGTGGTGTGCCGAAAATAAATTCTTTCCAAAAAATGTTTTCTTATATTGTTAAGAGGCACTCTCTTATCACGGGAAACTAAAAAAAAATTGTATGTGTCATACTCTAACCGTGATGGAGCTGGGAAGTACAGACAATTATGGGCGCTGAGTGATGGAACACTCGAGATCACTCGACCCCACCACCCCGTGGGGCAGCAGTTGCTGCAAATATAATGTTTCTCATTTGTTTCTTCTGTTTTTTTTATGTTTTTTTTTTTTGTTTTTTTGTGAATATATTATTCAAAAGTGTGTAATTTGTGGAATTTGTATAGTTCAATGTGTGGAACATTGCTATGCTCAAAATTATGGGACACTAATATATGACATGTATATTATAATCTACAATCAATCAAACCGTGTTTTTGCTGTTATTACACTATATACACCCATTGAATATGCCTCTCTACATGTGTGTTCACCATAGCGAACCACTAAGCTGGTATGGTGATTCTAGACAATAACATGTTGCCATACACCAGCAAGCAGACGACACTACCTCGACCCTCCCTCCCTCACCAACATTACTCCTCCCATCATACTATGCACGTCGCTAATTCTCACTACAATCCTGCTGTTATCAGAATCCTGGTCACTAAAATCATGTAATGAATAATTTTCCACATGTTTATTTTGTAAAGAAACGTGAGAAGTCATTTGAAGAATTTTAGATGGGCGTAATAATGGCAGTGTGCTGTGGCTAGCACTATGAACATCTTGAACAGCATTTATTCACTGATATCTGAACATTGTACACAGTTTTTATCAGTCAAGCTCTTCTGTAATACTATCATGGCTAAATAATACCAGATGCATATATATTTGGACATTTTTAGGCGATGCTGTTAGCTCATGCTGTGTGCGCCAGCCTTGGTTGCTCACTCGGTACTGAGGCCTTCACACTCGGGAATGCCCACGATTATTTTTATAAATGGCGTCTGTTTAGGAGAGCCCTGAGGAAGCTGATGTGAACCCCGTGTAGCCGCAGGAGTTTTGAATGATACGCTATACCGTGAGAACCCTGAGGCGCGTTGCACACTACCTGTCGAGAGCCTCAAGGCATGTTGTGCAGTGCAGTGCTTAAGACAAATGCTCCGTTGCTGACCGAGTTTTGTTCTATGTACACCATTGCTTGCCTGGCTTGTCACTGTTGAACTTTTTGAGTATGTTTCATTATTGTATGAAAAGTTATTAAAGTTTTATATTGGTTGGAAATAGAGGTAAACCTTTTATTGGGAATGTCTTAAAATGTTGTGACTATAGCAAAGGAATATTTTTGTCTCATAGATATAATCTGCCAGAATTGCATAATGGTGAGGTTTTATAGCAATATTTGATGCTTTTTAATGAAGTAAAATATGATTATGAATATAATTTGGATTGTTTGTTACAAAACCAGATTTTATTCCTATAAACTTTCTACCTCCAACATTTGTTTTTCACTCTTTACAAAAAGAGAGTTCACATTTTGTTTAATTCTTAATGTGAGCCCTTTTTTTTGTGCCCTTCATTTAAAGATTGAAGTGTACCAGTCTACAGTTCATATACATAATACACACATGCACAGTAGTGATTTATAACAATGATATTACTGTTCACTTATCTGCAGTGTCATCTGTGCTCCATTTCTAAATAAGTTCAAGCACATGGATTAAGCCTCACACAAAACTTTAAAAAGTCCAAGACTCATGTTAGAGAAACAAATCAAGACACCGATGCTTCAAAATTTATTCTCGTCAAATTCATCATTTTCATTAAATTTACATAGCATTAGAGTTGCACTTTACAGTAATCTTACAAAGAAGGTAAAGAATAACTCCACAAAGAAACATTAGGGGGAATATTTTTATTGGTATATTAAATGTACAAGTAGTATTTGTAAACTATTTAGCTGCACAAAGAGCTTAACATTGTAGATAATTAACTTTGGCCTATTGTTTGTGTTAGGTACCAATATTTTCCATTTTCCTTTGTACTGTACTAGCTCAGGAAAATATAAGAATGTTAAGAGCAGAAAATGGGCATATGAAAGTGGCTACAGACATCTTTTGATTTATTTTCCCTGCTACAAAATTTAAATAATGGTGATTGAGTATAACCTATACTGTATATTAGACAGTACTGTATATTCTACATATTAATGAATGTTTGGGAGACCGCTTTAAAATTGTATTTCATGATACTGACATTTACAGCACAAAGAAATTAAAGTAATTTCACATGCACAGTTTTTCTGAATGACAATTTAGGTTTCCTGATATTCTTTTTGAGTCACGAGTCCCTCTTGTGACTTGATAAACATTGCTCCCATATTGGCCTCTTGAATGATATCTAGGAACTCTCTTTTTTAATATTTTCTTAATATAAATGACACTATGTATGCCACTGGGCTTAGTACTTTTGATAATTATTACTTCCACACATACTGAACATCATAACCCTTCACATATGCTTCCCTAGTTCAACTGCTGGTCTCTTGGCAATCTGTGATTTATCAAAATAAACCTAGTTAGATCAATAAATTTAACATATTTGTTAAATTACCTATAAAAACTGCAGGCAGTACAAATATTAAGTGACATTGTAAGTGAACTACAGATTCAGCTTAAAGAACAGCTAAGACCTCTTAAAATACTTGATGGAAAGCACATTGATGTTAATGTCAAATATGCCAGAAGGTTTTACATGATGTTCATCCGGTCACTAGTCAACTGCCGTGTCCTGCACCTTATTATCCCTAGCAATAGACTGAAAGCTATAGAGAATATACAAAATGAAGTCATGAGAATAATTATTGGAGCCCCCAGATGCACAGGAATCAGCATAAGGGAGTAGGTGAAACTTTCACCCATAAGTGAAAGAATTGAGCAGCTCTGTACTACCTTCTGTGTAAGGGTGATGAAAGATCTAACATCACCCTTACTACTTGGAGATAAACTGACTGGTGCTGTTTGTAGGCAAGAATGTGTGGTCAATGTACAAGCTGCTTGAGTAGAAGTGCTGCCAATATCATTAAACTGAATATATCTATTGTAAGCAATGTACTAGCCAATGATATTCTATTATATCTACCCTGAAATACAAGTGTCTTACCCACCCATCAGCAAAAAGAGCAAGGAAAACCCAGCACTCCTGAAAGCAACAACACTTGAAACCATTGATTCCTTTATAAATAACTTACGGCCTCACGAGAAAATGCTTACGCTGATGAGTCTGTTCAAATGGCAACAGATCGCACTGCAGCAGCCTGTATAATATTAAAAAACAACATATGTACACAGACCACAAGTGTGACTTAATAACTGGCTTAGCTCAACACATGCAAAATTTAGCTGCACTGCAACTTGCCACTAATGCACTGAAAAACAGTGGAGGAGTAATTTTCTGATTCCAAGTCAGCTCTTCAGGCCCTTATTAACCCAACATGCAAAATAGACACTAGGAATGTTGTAACATCCATTATAAACAACATTATTAATGCAAAGAGCAAGAGTTTCAGAGTCTCATTTGTATGGATACATCTCACATATGTGTTGTCCAGCATGAAGCCTGTCCTTCAAAGATCCAAAAGCCAAACCCCTTTTTATGAATGAAAAACGGTTCACACACGACTCACAACTGTTGACGTTTTAACACTTCCGGAACAAGTGCTTCACTGACGAATTTTGTTCGAATCACAACGCTACAAATGCTTCACCCATAAACTACAAATACAAATAATCGTCAACAGAACCTAAACACCTAACCTAATAAAACATATGCCTATATATATATGCAAAATATCCTAATATATTATAAATTTAATTTATATTTGAGAAAATTCCTAGTTTTGAATGAACAGCATGTTAAAATTTATGAATGCGTCTGTGGGGTCGACTGCTGGATGTAATGGACTGGAGCCGAGGACTGGTTGCAGCATGACGACAGACAAGTCAGCTAAAACTGCATTTGATAAACCTGAACTTGAGTTGGATATGGGCATTCAAGTTTTTGCTGTAAAAGCCGCAATATTTCAGGAAATCGGGGAAGACAGAAGAGCGGTCAACACACAAAGACCAGAAAGCACACGTATAAAGAGCTATGACATGTTTAGAACGGAGAATTATATGTACAGGCAGCATAAAACATCCACTAGACAATGTGATATTGTAAAATGTGTAATTAGTAAAAAGAGCTTTGTTAACTTAACGGAATCTCTGTAGACGGTATAAATCCACGATGAACATCGTGGATTATAAGATATATTAAAAGGATATTAAATTCAGCTATCCAGGAAATCAGATTAGCGAAAAGAAACTACAAATGAATACTTGTCCAAAACTTAAAGGAAGATCCAAAATCATTCGATGCACATACGAAGTAAAATCGAAACCAAGAACTCTGTAGGGCCCTAAAAGGTGAGTAACCAAGTTATATTGGATGATAAAAGAGCAGCAAACACTCTTAATGAGTACTTTACATCACTGCAGGCGATGAGTCAATAACGTGGCTGAAGTATGTTGACCAGACCACACTAGAAAATGAAGGGACGACGACGTTTCGGTCCGTCCTGGACCATTTTCAAGTCACAATCGCAATCGACTTGAGAATGGTCCAGGACGGACCGAAACGTCGTTGTCCCTTCACTTTCTAGTATGCAGTCTGGTCAACACTTTACATCACTGTTCACCCTAGAAAGACTGAATGACTTTCCATCAATCAATTGCTCGTTTTGCTGATGGTGGTGTAAGACACTTGTATTTCAGGGTACAGATATAGTGGAATATCATTTCTAGCACATTGCATACAATAGCTATATTTAGTTTAATGAGATTGGCAACACTTTTTTTTTTTTTAGATATATACAAGAGTTGTTACATTCTTGTACAACCATTAGTACGCGTAGCGTTTCGAGCAGGTCCCTGGAATACGATCTCCTGCCGCGAAGAATCGTTTTTTCATCCAAGTACACATTTTACTGTTGCGTTAAACAGAGGCTACAGTTAAGGAATTGCGCCCAGTAAATCCTCCCCGGCCAGGATACGAACCCATGACATAGCGCTCGCGGAACGCCAGGCGAGTGTCTTACCACTACACCACGGAGACTGTGAGTGAGTCACTTCTACTCAATCAGTTTGTATATAGGTTACCTGCTTATGCATTGGCAACACTTTGTCCACTACATACAGCACTAGTCAGTTTATCTTTAAGTAGTAAGGGTGATGTTGGATCTTTTATCACCTTGGAAGTACTGAGCTGTTCAATTCTTTCACATATGGTTGGGAGTTTCAGCTCCTCCCTCGTGTTGATGATTCTTGTGCATCTGGGGGCTCTAAAAATTATCCTCATTTGGCTTCATTTTGGATTTTCTATAAAGCTTTCAGCCTATTGCTAGGGAGACAAATAAGGTGCAGGGCATGGTAATTGACTAGTGACCTGACCTTGAATCAACAACAGGACACGTAGCGTCACTACCACTCCCGGTGTCAACAATAGGACATAAAAAAAAAAAAAAAAAAAACGCTCCCGTTGTCAACAACGGGACATGTAACGTCACTACCACTCCCGTTGTCAACAACAGGACATGTAACGTCACTACCACTCCCGTTGTCAACAATCCCGAAGGTGTACTTCAGCTTTTGGTCAATTCTTTATTATAATAATATTATAATATACAAGTGATACAGAAACAGGAATTATAAGGGAGAAAGCACTAAGCCAGGATGATTATATAGTTCTTTATTATATTATTATAATTATAATTCTATAGTTTATTATACAGAAATATTTCGTTTTACAGAAAAATACAGAAAATACACTGTTATATGGAAACACAAGTAAATAATTATCAAAAGAAGGCGCCATGCCGGGAAGGACCTTGGGGCATATTGAGGAGTGTTCCAGAGACGCGACACAGGTCTGTGGAGGTGTTTACAAGATCCTCTCATTACTCTGGTGAACAATTTTACCATTCACTTAGTGACTTTTAGGTCTAACTTCATCACTGTTTATGTTGCTCAAGTCGATGGCCTGTGTGTTTTTTCTGTTCGGAATGGACTTTTTCTGCTTTCGGTTACAGGTCTATCAATGCATCCGGTGATCGGCCTAACACCGGATAGAGCTTCATCCCTGGTGAGGATAGGGGTTGCTATTGCGCTCCAAGAGAACTTTTTCTGCTGTGAAAGTTATATTGGTGTATTGGAGGATATCATCTCCGATTATGTAATCCTCGTCATAAGACTGCAGGATGTACACATCTGTGTGGAATGTAAGACCTTGGAATTTTATTTCTGCGTTCCGAATAACGTGTTTTGTTCTTAATATTTTTCCGTGTACATTTTCCACTTTTTTCATTGCACACGATTCAATTTTAAGGCCTAGTTTTCTGGCACGACGTCTGCTGATGCTTGTTATGGGCGAGCCAGTGTCCAGAAAAGCCGTAGATCTCTTGCCGTTGATTTTGGTTTTGAGTCTGATGGTATCGTAGTTTGTGACAAAGTACTTCGTGTTATCCTCCAGCTTGTGCTTCTTCACTGGCCGTATTATTAGTCGGGGATTTGTCAGGTCATTAATTATTGAGCAGTTATGTGCAACTAAAATATCCATGCCCAGTAAGGCATAATGTACAGGTAAATCAGCAACATAGATCTCTGCATCCAGGGATAAATGTGCTTTCCGGAAATAAGGTTTAGCTTTCAGGACCCCCGTGTAGAAGTTTGAGAAGTCCATTGACTTCCACTCGTTATCATTTATGTCTATGGACTCCATTTTATCTAAACGCTTAAAATCCTTGCCCATTACGGCCTCCAAGCCATGTTCCTACATAAAGGGAACCGTGACGAGGGTGTCGCGTGAGCCGCTGTCCACCACGAAATAAACTCGTTGGCCTTCTAACCGTACAGATACGAGCAAGTGACCGCCGACCCGGTAAAGAGGGACGGACACCTCGCTTGATGCTCGTTCCTTATGCCCCATTGTTCCTTGTAGGTTTTATACATAATTGTCGTTAGAAAACCTTACCTGATGCTTATATCCGTGATACAATTTATTTAGTTAGGCGGTAAT